TTCTGAGTTCGGTATTGGTCCAATTAAATTCATCTGATTAAAACTGTCAAGCCAAAAAGGAAGTGAGTTGAAAAAAATGCAGCAAGAGTAGTGGGTATTGCATTACCAAGGTTCTGCCTGAGAACGGAATTATAAATAAATGTGTTAGGTAGTGGAATTTTGTTTTGTTTTCCCCAAAGGAGAAATATTCACCACATGGAAACAGAATTTATTCAGCATATTTTCATTCTGTAATTGCACCATTTTCTATTCTTAATTCTTTGAGTTTCTGGCTTAAAGCGAAAAAACACCAAAACAGACGGTTGTGAAAAATCTTCAGGAATGAGTGTGAACCTGGCTGTCAGAGACATAGGTTGTTGCAAAATTAGCAATGGAAGCAGCTTCCTATTCTGGAGGTTAAAAATAATGTATTTACAAGGAAGTATTTACATTGGCCGCTTAGAGGCTTCCCCGGGAGCTGGAGTTAGGAAAGCTGTGAAATCCACGGTTGCTGTTTGCAGGAAGCATTTCCGGGAGGCTGCCTGTGCGGGGAGGGGGGCCGCTGGGCTCAGTGACTCTGCCACTACTCCTTCCTGGTGACAGACGGGGACATGGAGAAGTCTCGCTGCCCCAGGACTTCTCCCATTGTGAGGGAAAGTCAACTCAAGCCTTGCTTGTTCCAGAGTTTGCGCTCCAGCAAATCCGTCCCTAGATTGCAGGAATGTTTTGCTTTGAGCTTTCCCATAAGGGAACCTTTGTCCCTCATGGGACTTGAGACTCCACTGTGAGGAGCCCACCCACCCCAATAGCTGGACCAAGGCAGCCTTCTAGCGCACACACACCTTGATGAATTTGAACGTGAAGATAGAGAGCAGCCTCGCAGGTAGCAGGGGAAGATTTATATTTGTGGGAGCAACTTCTTGTTGCCGCTGTGTTGTGAACTGAAAGCATTTTTGAGCCTCTTGTGGTTTCTCTCTAACCCCTGCATGTCCCCATTCTCTTGCATTCACTTTCCTGAAAGCTTTCCCCACCTTTCGCCTGACCTCAGGTGATGCCAGAACAGAATTTTAGATATGTTTCTCCTCAGGTTTCTGGTCTGACTCTTTGGAGGCCATGCATTAAAATTATTTGGTGGTTTTATTACTTGAATAACCTCAATTTCAGTAGCAGCATCTTCGGGAAAGCGATTAATAAAGTACTATGAGATTAAAAATACTCTTTATGTATCTGAGTTTCCTTGCAGTCCAGAACAGAGTGTAGCTCAGTGATTGTATCTGCAAAGAATGGAGGAATGGATGGTTGAGAAATACCCAGGTATTTTTGAGGGCTCAACTGGTCTGTTCAGGAAATGTTTGGCTTGCTGTTTTGCTTGTTAGGGGACTTGTATTTTGGCAAGATTGGGAAAGTTGCTTGAAAGGTAGAAATCAGCTGTTTGTATCATTCAAAAATTTTCTTGTGTCGTTACCACTGCTTTATGAAATTAGAACCTGAAATGATTTGGGGGGGGTTTGACACACCCACTTCTGCACATTTGGAGGGGAATAATATTTTTGTTTGCTGAGGGTGTAGAGGAGGTAGGAGGCTAAACTTTGTTTGGGAGACTTTGCCAGTGGATGTGCTGAATTCTTTAGGTGTTTGAGTTGACTTTTGATGGAATGCAAGAACGAAAAGGAAGGGGGATGGGTTGGAGAGATTAGAGAAATAGGATTATGGAATAGTGGATACTTACATGATATTGATGATGCTCAAGGTTCTCATCTAAGGGAATTCTCTGATTTCCTTCTCAAGGTGGTGGAAGGCTGAATGATGGGGTGGGGAGCAGAGTGAGCAGCTGCTCAGAACTTTCTAGAAGTTGTCACTTAGAGGGTTTTTAGCTTGGTAAAGGATCTGTAGGTCAGGTGTTGAGAGATTTGCTTCCTGGTTCTTGCATTACGCAATAGGTCACCTGTGTCTTTGATCCAACCACATGCCCTGTAGCAGTCTCAGTAAAATTTCAAGGCTCTTCCTGTGGTTGTGGTTTTACAGTCCTCAAACCTCCGTTTTCTGTGCTTTGTTAGCTGACCCTTACCACATTGGTTCCAGAATGTTCTTAACAAGCATTCTAGAACTATTCCAGTTGGACAAAAATAAAATCTAAAAGTATTTACTTTTGTGTCACATATTTTCCTGTGTTAGTTCATTTAGTGAGTGTTAATAAAGATGAAAGGAGAGAGTCTCGGAGGAGATGCTCAACTAATTCTTACTGTAGTGATTTTTACATCTTTTACTTCTCTTACTATTTACAGGGTAACTCCCATGTGATTCTCCTGAAAGATGAGATATTTAATCTGAAATCAAAAAAGCTGGTTTGCCAAAGGAACATAAAATTAGCCCTATTGTGGAAATTGATGTTGACAGGTTGGTGTCTGGTGAAAAGCACCTCTACAAGAAGCCACTGGAGAGATGAGTTCAGGGTCCTGCCGATTCAGGAAGATGAAAAATGTTGAAATCAAGTGGGGAGAAGGGAATGGTCCAAATCACAAGAAACCAGACTGTTTTTAACGGAGAAAATTCAATTTTATCTGCCTTTTTTTTTTTTACCAGCAAATTCCATTTGATATTTTACATTTTCTTGATAACTTAATAAAGATCCCAGGAAGGAGTTGCCGAACTTTAGCTTAGTGAAAGAGAATTTGTCATTTGTGACATTTCTTCTCTAAATAGCATGAGAAGATCAATGAATTTAGTTTGTAGTTCCTGCATTACTAGTTCTTGCTGTTTCTATCCAGAAAGGAAAGTGCACGTGAACAGCAGACGTGGCACAGCAGGAGGTGCTGGCTCGCTCCCTGCAGTCACCAGCTCTGCTGGGGAGCAGGCGTTGGATGGGGCAGGGGTGAGAGCTGGAGGTAGTTAAACTCAATCCTTGTTCCCCCGGAACACCATCTCAGCAAGTAGGCCGTGAACTGATAGATCCCTGAGCGTGAAAGGCCAGTAATATAAACCAAATGGGGCCACTGCATTCAAAACATTGAATCCGGAGCTTCTCCTGACCAGCCCGCCACGCTCGAGTCTGGGCCTCCGTCTCCCTGCCCCGTGTGGAGACCTGCGGTCTGTTTCCCACTCGTGGCGGTCATTGCAGCCCACTCCCCCCACCCTACACTCCCCCACTGGCTCCCACTTTCACCAGATGCTCAAGACCTTGCAGAGGACAACAGTGTCCCGCTGACACACGCAGCCCCTCCACAACACGCACACTCTTCTCACACATTCAGACACACACACTAATGTTTTTTTCTGACTTTTTCCCCTGCTCACTCACTCTGCTTTCTTCACATTGGCTTCCTTCTGTTCCAGGGACAGTCCAGACATGTCCCCCCCCCGCCCCCCAGGGCCGCGACAATGACTTCCTCTGCAGGGGACGGTGTCCCAGAGGCAACTGCATGGACAGCTCCTGGCTTCTTCCAAGTCTTTGCTCAAATGTCACTACCTCCTGGAAGCTTCACTCTCTGACCATCTGTTTAAAATGGCTGCTCACCTCCTACCCCCAACCCCATCCTTCTCATCCAGCTTTCTGTCTTTTCCCTGGACCTACCACCCTCTGACTTACTACTATATCACTTAATCACTTATGACTTTGGTTTAACATTTCTCTTCCTGCACTGGAATGTACATTCCAAAAAGGCTGGATCTTTGTTTAGTTCAGTGTTGTTCAATCCAGAACAGTGCCAGCTGCTCCAAAATTACTTGTTGACTAAGGGAAAGCATGAATGAACGAGAAGGATAGACAAATTCTGCCTGAGAGTTCTAGGGAGAATCACGAGGAAGAGGCCTTTGAGCTGGGTTGTTGATGGACATGCTGGATTGGACAGTCAGGTTTTCTGAGGAAAGACATTCCAGGTGGAAGGAATATTTTGAGCAGAAGATGAAAAGTGATGGACCTCTTGAGGATTCCTGGAGCCAGGGCTCGCGGGGGCAGAGAGAGTGGTTGTGGTGGGTGTACAAAGGGAAGAAAATATTTAATGTGCAGGTAGCAAAGGACATGTTATTAATCCCTGCCGGCGATCAGACAGCATGCATGTCAGGGACCGGAATCGAGGACTGTGAAGGCAGGGGTGCTCGGAGCCCAAGCCATCGGGTCCCTGGGAGAAATCAGTCAGTCACGTGAAGAGTGTTTGCTCGTGAGACCTGACTTTACTAGTGGACTTGCCTGTTTCCTAACATGGTCACGGGCTTATTATGCCTCATAACGACTAGGGAAGTGAGTTTTGCATGTATCAAATCTTTTTTGATAAATTCAAATCAAAAAAATGAATTGCATCCTGTGTCAACCAGCTGAGGGACTTGGAGTTCCTGCACGGGGACTCGGCTGACCTCACGCTAGTTCTGCCGTGACACTGGAGACCCAAGCCTGGGGGCTCTCTTTATTGCTTGACAAGAATTTGAGCTTCAGGGCCTCCCCTGGTGGCGGAGCGGTTGAGCGCTGGGCTGCGAAGCTGCCCACAGCCTCTGTAGCACCGGTTCAATCCCCGGCCGCCTCCGAGGGTCCCACATGGTGCGACAGACCCCTCCTGCCATGCCCGCTGCTCCCCTCAGCAGTGTGCTTCGGTCCTTCTGCCTGTTCTGCTCCCCGCTTTGGCTCTGGTGAATTCTCTCACCCTCCCGCGCTTCTGACTGTACCCAGTGCTTGTATAAATAAATAAATAAATCTTTAAAAAAAAATAGAATTTGAGCTTCTTTCCATTTCCCACCATCATCAGAAATAACGTTTTTTTCATCCAGTTGCTTTAGCAGACCCAGGTCTCGCCTTCCTTTTCCACTTCAACTCATCTGGGGTCATTATTAGCAGGTCATGGAGCTGCTGGGTGGGCCTTGACCTTCTTCCCAGCCCTGCCAGGACTGACTCTGCACTTGACCTTCTGGGGCGGGTCTGCTGCTCTCCCGTGGCTGGTGGGTGGCAGGGAAGCATGTCTCGGCCCCCCGGAGTGTCTTCGGGCTGGCTTGTTGCTCACTGGGGAGTAAACCTGGTCTTCTTCCTCCCCCAGATGTTAGTAGGCAGGACGAGGCGGAGGGCGAACTCAGCGAAGGCGAGCACTGGTATGAGAACTCTTCCGAGACTCCCTCCGAGGCGTCCTATGGAGAAGTCCAGGAGAACTATAAGCTGTCTCTGGAGGACCGGATCCAGGAGCAGTCCACCTCCCCCGACACCTCCTTGGGGAGCGCCACCCCCAGCAGCCACACGCTGGAGCTGGTGGCCCTCGACGGCGAGGTCCTGCGAGACTCCCTGCCCGCTCAGGACCACCTCTCTCCCGGCGTGTCTTCTCTGTGTGACGAGGACGCCCCCGGCTCCACCAAGCCCCTGAGCAGCAACCTGCGGCGGCTGCTGGAGGCCGGCTCCCTCAAGCTCGAGGCCGCGGCCACGGCCAACGGCAGGGTGGAGTCTCCGGTCAATGTCGGCTCGAACCTCTCCTTCTCCCCGCCCTCCCACCATGCCCAGCAGCTCAGTGTCCTTGCCAGGAAGCTGGCAGAGAAGCAGGAACAGAATGACCAGTACACTCCAAGTAACCGTTTTCTCTGGAATCAAGGTAAGTGGTTGCCAAACTCAACCACCACCTGCGGCCTGTCCCCGGATTCCGCCATCCTCAAACTGAAAGCTGCAGCCAATGCTGTCCTGCAGGACAAATCTCTCTCCAGGACTGAGGACACCATGCGATTTGAGTCCTTTTCCTCCCCTTTTAGCTCCCAGTCTGCCAGTTCCACCCTGGCAGCTTTGTCCAAGAAGGTCAGTGAGAGAAGCCTGATGCCTGGCCAGGAGCACCCGCCCCCGGCCAGCTCCTTCCTCTCCCTGGCCTCCATGACCTCCTCGGCCGCCCTCCTGAAGGAGGTGGCCGCCAGGGCAGCTGGCAGTCTGCTGGCGGAGAAGTCGGCCCTGGTGCCTGAGGACCCGCTGCCGCCACAGCCTTCGGAGAAGAAGCCGGAGAAGGTCACCCCGCCGCCGCCGGCACCCCCACCGCCCCCACCGCCACCACCACAGTCCCTGGAGCTATTGTTACTCCCGGTTCCTAAGGGGAGAGTCTCTAAACCCTCCAACGCAGGTACGCCATCTTTTCTTTGAATGCTCATGTGAGTCTTTGTCACTGTCCGTCGCGACGTCTCGCGCACCGCCTGGGCCTGTTGGGGTCCCCATCTTGAGCCGAGGCCGGGATTTTGAAAAGCACAACAAAATCCTTGAAGTGAGCAGGGAGCGGGTTTTCGTGCACGTCTTCCACAAAGGCTTCCCAAATAGCTGCCTTCCTGAAAGGGGGCGAGTCATCTTGGAGACACGCGGCCCTCCTCCCGTCCAGGGAGATGATTTTTTTTTTTTTTTTTAATTTTTCTCACCAAGTTCAGGCGAGGTCCATGCAAGCTATATTTAATGGGGGAAGATGAAAGCATCTTTGTCGTGGAGTGCACGGCACCCCTGAACGTAGGGGACAAAACCCCACTGCTTTTGAAACAGCGGACAAGGGGGAGCCCACCCTCCCGCTGTCTGCGCCACAAATGGACTTTTGTGTAATCAGGAACTACTCTGCCCTAATTTATCACAGCACACGCTTTTATGTTAGCATTTTTATTCCCTTTTTGTGGAATTTAAGCCTTTTCCATTTATCCTGTGCTTCTGTAATTTCTGGTCATATAAGAACTCTAAAGAATATTGTCATTCAGGCATCATCAAAGCATTTCCTGCAAAGGCTTAATTGTATGCCAGTCCAATCCTATGCTGAAGGAATGTGCATGTGGAATATTTGAATCATAACTGTTTCTTGGGGGGCGGGCAGCCTTGCCAGAGGGGGCAGCGCTGTCTTGGAGAGTCTTGACACTCACAGTTGTCATCTGAGGGAGCAGTGGGGTCACGTGAGACCCCACGTGGAGCATTGTCTCTTGTGCTGGGCTGTTAAGTTGTGCTCATGGTAAATCATGGTCTCGGGGTGGGGACTGGGGACTGCATTCGAGGCTCCAGGAGCTCGCGCTCCCCGGGAGCAGGAAGAGGCTCTGCGTGTCCCCATCGGTACACACACTCCGTTGCTTGTGTCTCGCCAACTGCTGGGTATTTGCAGCCACACTTGGCGAGCATGCTCGGCATGGCCGGCATCAGCTGGATAGTCGCAGCTAACCTCGATTGGAGGCACTGGTGACAAATTTCCATTTTAATTGCTGAGCCAGCCATAGGCAATAATTATAATTACTTAAATACTTGCGTGAACTGCACGATAGAACTGGGAACGTGGATACCTGAAACTTTTATGACTCCAGGCGATCCAAACTTCTCACTCCAGAGTTTCTAAAGTATCAATAAAATCCTGAATGTTTGCCCATTTGAGTTTCACTTCTCTCACCTCACCTGCCATCTGGTGAAATAGAGAAATGACTGAAAGTCGGAAGCAAGGGGAAGTGTAGGGGCGGGACGCGAGCTGGGGGATCTTGCAGTGGAGGTGATGGCTCCTGATGGAGAGAAATTTCATGTAGGAGTCGTGGCAGGGAGGTCTGCGTAGGTGGAAAATGTGATTTTATAAGTGTTCTTTATCTGGTTGTTGAATAAACTTATTCGTGGTGCTTATGCTATAAATTCACCTGGACGTTATTTAGAAAAGCTGATACAAAATGAATCATAAACTGCACTTGACTCGAGACTGGGAAAGATCACTGATAAAACTTTCTTCTGAAGATGAGCTGTAGTAACGTTTCTCAAATTGTCTCGAACCCCGTCAGCAAGAGCTGTGACGCCTCCTCTCCCCTCCAGTGACGAGCTGCAGGTGGTGGCAAGAAGGCTGTCCTGAGCCTCTAGCTTCGGGTAGACTTTGCCTGTTTTGTGGTAGAATACACCCCAGGAAGATGTGCTCCCTGCTTGGTTTAAATGCACTTAATTCATGCCAACATCTCAATGAGCTGCTCAGCAAATTTAATAGAGAAGCTTTAAGAAATCAGTTTTTTTTCCCCTTATCTTTTTACTGAATTTCTTCTGTTGTTCAATCACTTAATATTTTAATCAATGAGTCTTCAAATCAAAAGAGGCGGGGAAGGAACTTCCAGAATGTGGGCTCTGTGGCCCCGCTGAGGGGCTGGACCTAAGTCTCGTGTTCCACTTGCCTCTGTTCACAGTCCAAGACCTGGCGAAGCAGCTGCAGGGCCGGGTGATTGTATTACAAAAATATTATTTTTGTAAAACTTACAGAAGAGGAGAGATCACTGCAAAGAAAGGGTCCTTGAAGAGTGTTCGGGACGCCCATGTGGACACAGCCCCAGTTCGAGTTCTGGTTCTTGTTGCCGGGATGGGAAGTGGAGGGGGCCTCTGTGCCCTCGTGTTAGTTACACTTCCCAATATCCCACGGAGGTGTCGGGTTAAGAAGGAATAGGTAGATATTCAATTTAGTTACTTTGCTTCATGAGCACGTGAATTGGTTTGGTCACAGATTTTTGAATCAGAGCAGTGGTTGGGAAGGTTGGTCTTCACCATCAGCCCTTGCTCCCTCCCCCCGACACTCTAAACTATTGGGGCCAGCATGGGGACGTAACGGCTTTACCTGACCCTGAAAAAGCATGATGGCAGCAAGCTAAAGCCCTCACCCATGATTCTCAACATTTCCAAGCATTTCTCATTATTATTTTTCCTCTACCTTAAAAAGTAATCTGAGTTTAATTCAAAATAGATGTGCAGGGGAAGAGTTCCTGTTGCTTAATGACTTAAATGAGCAGATATTTCCCTTTTCTCCCCCTCAAAACACCCCAAGAACAAACTGCATACCCTCCTGATTTCAAACTGGGCTTCCATTTGAAAACTGTTTCTCAAAAAGCAGAAAGGGCATATAAAGTTGATTCTAGAGTCACAGAGAGACAGGTGCTGGAAAAGGCAATCCTCTATTGAGTAATTTAGACTCCAGCATTTCTTTGACCTTCTTTAGGTCAAGAGAAGTCCACACCATGGGAGGAGAAATGTCTTTTAGGTCTGGCCTTATTCCTCTTTTTTGAACAGGTTTCTGTCGTTGCCAGGGTAAGGGGCAATTAATTCCTTAAAGAGTCCATCCCTGGATTGCCTTTTCCCCACGAGAGCGACGTGACACTTGAGGAGAGGTCCCCTCCGTGTGACCCTGCGACCCAGCACATGCTACACGGCTTCTCTGAAAGAAGACACGCTAGAGAGAAGATTATGTCCGTTTGCTATAAAGATAAATGTCACACATTCACTCAATTCTCTTTGAAGCTACTGTTCTGTTGCAGCTCCGAATAAAATAAATGGTTTTTATTTTAAAGACAAGTTTCTTGTAGAAGGCCAACAAGATTTCCTAGATGCCAGCCAGGCTCGTTAGAAAAAAAAAATAAAAAGGGTTTCAGGGAGAAGGTTTCCCCATCTTATTTTCCTGAATACAATTTAAATATGCTTTGAAGCAAATAGGCCTCGTGTAGTTGAAGACTGAGAGTATTTTCTGGACCAACAGATATTGTTTGCTGGCTTCTGTTTTCTTTCTTATTTATGTGATGTTATTATTATTAACTTTATTGCAAAAGCATAGAAAGCCCAGAAAGTGAGGTAACCTCTTCTGCTACTCCCATTAGGTCCATGGTTATTAATAGCTGTGTCTGGAAATGATCACATATAGGAACCTGTTTAGAAAATTCACTTTTTAGTCAAGTTGTAGAACTATCTGTTACTCATCTCCATTATAGTGCCCCAGGGATTTAAGCGTAGGGTAGCTCTAGATCTGACTCTTCTGTAGTTTTATTGACTAGTTACCTGCATACGTGGTTAATATCAATGTCAATAACTGCAGATCGGCCCAGTGACACCCTCTGACAGTGACACCCTCTGCTAACAGAGTTTTCTCATTAAAAGCTATGAAATCCAAGGACATTGTTAGAAGGTGGATGGATCGCTCCGCATGGTTGTGTACCTTAGGTTGACAGGCATAGAGGGGAGATGGTGAGGCTACAGACTGCACACCCAGAGGTGCTGGCACCCGGAAGTCCTTCCGTGTTCATGGCAAGGTCTGTTTGCAGGAACTACCCACTTGCAAATTATCTCAATTTTCTTCAAATGGGATCTAACAAAACAACCTTTTATTTCAAAGTCTATGGGCACAGCTACATTTGTTTTAAAAACACCCTGCCTTGAGTTGAAGCAATTAAATTAATAAAACCCTTTGTGATTTTTTTTAAGCCCAGGGAAGTTTTTTTTTTTGTTGCTTTGTGGGTCTCCACAAAGATGGTAGAGCAGCTTGTCCCCCCTGACTCGTGAGGGCTTCACCCCACTTTAGTTTCCTCTGCTGTAAATTGAGCTGGTTAAGAATTATCTCCAAATTCTCTCCCGCTTTGAGATTCCTTGCTTTTACTTTCTGCTTTTCTTTAGCTCTATTTGTCTATCAGTTCAAGACAAACATATTATTTTTTCTATTTTTGAACTTAGTATGGTGCTGCTTGTAAATCACTATCAGACCTCCCACAAAATCGTCTCCGCCTGAGGCAGATCTCATCCATTGTAAATAGTTTAACGTATACCTTTGCACCACAGACTTTTAAAATATAATCTGCTCTAAATTCATGGTGGAGCTCGGTGAGGTCTGAGTGCATGAATGTCTCTGTTTATACACGTCCTTCCACGTGTACTGCGACAGTGATAGCCGCGCACTCCTGGGCTAACACACCTTCCTGGAGCCTATCCATTCATCCATTTCCATGTCCCAACCCTCCCCACTTAACCTCACCATAACCCAGTGCACAGGCATTGCACTGTACCTTGTACCCACACTGTGTGTGTGGTGGGGTCACAAGGTGAGGATGTCCAGCCCTGCTCAGCCATGCCCCCTCCACCTCTTCTCCCCTGCTCTCTCTCATTTCTCTCTCCCTGCCCAGCTGAACTTGGCCATCAAAGTCTGTGTAGGCTGAGCCCAACCCTACATGGTTTCAGCGCATGGATTCCGGCTCCTTTGTCTCCTCCTGGCTCTGGTGATGAGCCAGCACATTGGTCCTGTGTGTTCATTATGTGATGTTGGTTGCATTTACAGATGCATGTGGTGAGTTGTCTGCTTTGGGGAGGCAAGAGCTTATGATCACTACTATTACTGCAGCAGCCACTACTGGTAGTTTCTGCTGACGGCGTGCCAGGAGATGCCACGTATTTATTATCTCTTTTATTCCAACAGTAGTTTTCCCTATAAAGAGAACATGTTTTCTCTAGGGGAGCGAAAGAGCAGCTATCCTTCCTGTTGGGTCTGTGAGCATTTGGTGGGACTTAGTTGTGTTGCAGCGATACTAACTAGCTGGTGATAGAGTTGGGAGAGGCTGTTTTATGAGACTGTTGTAAACTAGGTAAAATTATGAAAAGTTCAATAATGTTGCCTTAAGACTGTGTGGTTCGTTCTGAGGAAGTGGTCCTGTTTCCTTAGACTCTAAATTTGAGTGAAAGGTTCGGTTGTCAGCTCTTTGAAAACAGTTGGGCATACAAAATAGAATCTCCTTACTTCCTCCCTGCTCTAAAGTAGCTTCTGTCATCGAGGCAAGGAAGGCACTCTACTAAAACAAGAATTTCTTTTCTTGAATAAATAAAAATTAAATGTTACCAGGGAGATTACTGGCCAAGTTGGAAACTCGGCCATTATATTCTGCTACTTTAATTGATTTATGTTTTTAAAATTAAGGTAGCGTTACTTAAAAACCTTGTATATAATTTAGAAATATAGGATCCCACCTCTTCCTGTGTTTGTGGCCACACTACACTCACCCCCAAGGCACCCATAGTCCACCATTATTCTGCTTGCTTTTATCTTAGCTCTGTCTTCCTTCCCTGCCATGATCAGTTGAAAATCTCTAGCAGTTCTAGTAGTGTAGCTGTTTGACCACATAACTCACAGTTAGTTTCTCTTCATTAGGAGTGTTCTCATTTTTCCCCAGTCAATCCAAGTCCACATCCATGTAAGCTTTGGTATTAACTAAAAGGAAGGAAGCAAATCTCCAAAATAAAATCGAGCTATATGAAAAGCTGACATGCGCTCTGTAACTTTGTAAAGCCGAGGCGAGTAGGGTGTGGATGGGGCTGCCAAAATAGGAAGCACACTGGTTATGTAGGGCAGGCGAGGGGTCTGGGGGACAGAGACCCTCCTTTGTCAGCTAATGTCTTTTTATTGCCTTCCTGGGATGTGGCCTGAGTTGGCAGCTCAGTGGAGGACAAGTCTTTTTTTCTCTCCTTTCCCCAGACAGTTCTGCCAAATCAGGCAGGTTTGGGCTTAGGGAGTGGGAAATACTTCCTAAAGACAGGACGACTGGCTGCCTATTTGCATATCTCTTTTTTTAACTCATTTGATGTTCATGTAACCCAAAATAGGCATCATTATCTTTTTTTTTTTCATTCTAGCTTATGTCAGTAGTCTCACCTAGAGGTCTGATTTAGTCCTTTCTCTCAAGTCTGTTGTTCGCCATGTCATCTTGGTGATCTAGATATCAGAGTGGAGGACATGGTGATGAAGGACAGAAGAGGAGGCCAGTTGAGGGGGGACTCGAGGTTAGCAGAGCAGTCAACACAGACAGACAGCAGGACAGCTATGGCATATTAACACAAAGCTTGTCTATGGACCTCTCTAGGGAGGGCTTTCTCCAGAGTAAAAGGAAACCCTCAATACCCACCCTATCCCTCAATCAAAAAAGGAAATACTTTGGATGGAACACATCCCAAGTAGAAGTTTCAGACTTGAAGGCTGTATTTTTGGATAGAAGATTCTTTTTCAAGATGCTTGGTTGAACTAACCACTATTGGTATTAGCTAGGCTGCCTTTTTGGAATGTCCTAATTTTATTCCAGAACCCTCTGGTCCCATCCACTTAAAGTGGTTCGTTGCCTGTAGAGACTCAATTGACTCCATGAATTAATAATGAGATGATTTTAAAGTTTACCCTGGAGAATAATTCCTTTTAAAATTATAAAAGCAATGTATGTGTTAAAAATTTCAAATAATCCAGAAGACTATAAAATGAAAAAAAAATCTCCCCCCTGACCCTTTGCCCCTTCCTTTTAATCCATCATCCTTCAAGGTTAATTGATTGCAGGTTTCTTGGGTATGCTTGCAGAAACTGTTGATGTAAGTAAAAGGATATCTTTTTGTTTGTTTCACTTATTCATTCCATGCCCCCCTCCTCTTATTTATTTATTTATTTTTTTGCTCAAGTGTTCTACAACAAATTTCAGGTATCATATCTTTTTCTGTAAATATCCCATATATGTCTCTAACAGATCAAATAATAGCCACAACGTCATGGTCACATTGGACGGGACTAGGAACACTCACACTATGGTCTGTATTTCTGTGATTATCTCAACAGTGCCTTTTCGTAATTGCTGTGTTCAAATGAGGATCAAAATTAGCTTCACACCTTGCATTTGTTATATATGTCCCTCACTTGTCTTTCATCCATAGCCCTTTCTCTTTTTAAAAAGCCATTTACTTGTTCAAGAAACTGGGTCATTTGTGCTATAGAATTTCCTACCTTCTGGGTTTGGCTGATTCCATTACTGGTGTGTTTAATAAATGTTGTTTTAATCACCCGCATTTCCAGTAAACTGTTAATTTGTAGAGAGGCTTGATTATTTGGTAAGAATATTTCTAGACGGTTGATCAGAAGGCACGCCAGATTGTTCCATTTTTTCGTGGTGATTAAGATTGAACAATGGTTTTTGGTATCATCAGCTTGCTCCATCCTTTATAAAGTTCTCTATCAGTCTTTCCCCTAAAGGTTTTAGCAGCGATTGCTTCCCAGTTTTTAGAAAATAAAAATAATCATCCTAGACATACAGTTTTGTAGCTTGTTTTATCCACCTACACTCATATCTTGGACATGTTTCTGTATCAGCATCTGTAGATCCAGTTCATTTTTAAAAATGGTTTCGTGTATTTTTATGGTATGTATGCGCTACAACTTATAGCCTGTTTGAAAAGTAACGACTGAGTCCTCAACCCTGTGCTTTCTGTGTCCCTGAATTTCTGATGTAACTGAGCGTTACATCGCGGGACCCTGGTGCAGGGAGGAACAGCAGGGTCGGGGCTGACAATAGTCAGGGTGGGGGAGACAACAGTCTTCCTTGGAGCACGTAGTTGGGATTTTTTGCTTTCCCCCCAAATTGAAGCATTTGTAGCTGCCTGGTTAACAGCTCTTCCCAAAGAGGCCTGGGGAGGGATGGGGTGGATGGGGTGCACCCGACTGCTGGCACTGGGAGGGCGCAGTACAGAGGAAGGGACGTCTCGTTACTGGCAGCCAGTGGACAGAAATAAGAGGGTGAAACGCCCTGACCTTGAGACCCCCTGATGGCTAAGCTGGCGGCAGCAGCAGCTGAAGCCTCGAACAGCCTTCGGACCTAGCATTTGTCTCCAAGGGAGTTGGTGCTGTGTGGCTGTTGGTCTTCACCTGGTGCGGGACCTTAGTCCCTGTCTCATGTGGCTTGTCTTGTATTTCTTGCTGGTTTTCAAGTTCAGGAATTTAGATATGGACCTGCACTTGGCAGTTTCCTTCAGGAAACAAAATCCCTTTGCAGACGCCTTCCTAAGCGTGGGGTGGCCTTCAAAGTCAGACTGACACCAGGCTACATGATCCGATTTTGAAAAACAAACTCGGGAGGCAAGAACGAGATGAATGTGGGCTTCTACCTGAAGAAAAGGAGTAATAAAACCGGGTCCTACATCAAGTCTTGTCAGTGTTGGGGGGGAGAAAAACACACAACTTCCTATCGTGTTTAGAAGTTCATTCTAGAACTCTGAGTGTCACGAACGCCAGATGCCCTGTTCTTTCTCATTGTCCTTAATGTCTCTTTCTCTCTCCTTATTCCAAGCCTCAGAAGAAGAAAGTGGAAAGCCTTTCCAGTGTCCAATATGTGGTTTGGTTATAAAAAGGAAGAGTTACTGGAAGCGGCACATGGTGATTCACACAGGTTTAAAAAGTCATCAGTGTCCGCTCTGTCCATTCCGGTGTGCTCGCAAGGACAATCTCAAATCCCACATGAAGGTAAGCCGGCCGCGGGCGGCGCTGAAGGGGCAGACTCTGCCCGGCCTTGCACCTGCGGGAGACAGGAGAGGGGCCACTGGTGGGGCTGATGAAGAGGGCACCCGAGGTCAAGGTGGGCGGGGTCCAGGGTGCACCTGGGAACAGGGTCTCATGTGAAGGTCTCGAGGCTCCTTTTACAACCAAGGTCTTAGAGGCAGAGAGAAGCTTCAGCACCTGAGTAATGTACATTGTGTAGACCCAGCCTTTCCTATTGGGGTGCAGCAGCCTAACCTGACCTGGCACGGTGCTCATTTCTAGGGCCTTGGAGGGGGATTTGGGGAAGAGCAAGAAACCAAGACAAGTCCAGGAAGGAACTTGCTTCCCTCTGTACAGACTGGCCTCTTCTGGCGCTGCCTTGCTCTGGAGGGTCACGCGGAGATACCTTTAGGGGTGTGAGGACATGGGAGAGACGCCTGGGTTTCTCATGATCCCTGAGGGAGGCTTGGGGCCACTCCTGGGGCCAGGCTTGGGACCCTGCCCTCCCTGAGGCTGTTGGTGTCTGAGAAGTCCTAATGCCCAGTGTCACGCTTCTAAGGATATTGTTTTCTATGTTCTAATGAAATCAGTTGGGGTTGGGGTGTGGGTGCCTGTAATGAGCAAACAGAATTAACTCTTAGTGTCGATGTTATGTGAGATGGCAGAAAACTGTCATCTAGAAATCCCTTTAGCAGCCCCATCTATGCTAAGGGTCTCATCTAATTTAAAGAGAAAGCTGAGGTTTTTGAATATGATGCACCTGAGTTTAAATTCATTGTGCAGCTCACCAGCCTTGAACAAATGAACCTGTAGACTCTCAATCTTTTCATCTGTTAAGTGGGGATCGTAGTGTTTGTCTAGAAGAGCTGTCATCAGTGTTTATCAGCAAAGTACCTCACTCAGGAAGTAACTCATTGCAGTGGTAGTTATCAATTTCACTAACTATTATTGAACATCTTATAACAACAATTGTTATAATGATGTTTTCAATATGTTTTGGCTGTTGACACTGTTTACGAAATGTCTACTTTCCTGCCCTAAGAAGGAGAGTCTGTGTTCATCATTAAGATATTGGCTTTTTTCCAAATCTTGTAGACTTGTTCTTCCAAAAAGATCAGTAATCACTGTTGAGAATTGTAGCTTTTAAAAAACAAGTGTGATCAAATAGAACTTCTCACTGACTTTAGGAAATAGCTTAGAAGATTAAAAAAAAAATTAAATCCATGATGTAATTTGTTTTCTGTCATTTGCCTTTTCTCCTGGGAGCAACATGCCCTTCATCTTCAGAATCCATTTAACCAGGAGTTCTGGTTGGTTGAATTTTAGTGAGCAGACTTAGTTTTTACTTTAACCCTCCTCATCCCCTATCACCTCTTCCCTAAGTAAAATCTCATATTTTACATCTGCGAAGAGGATTTCATTAGCAGGACGAGACTTCAGAAGGAAGACCTTTAAAACTAAAATGTGTTTTAGTGACTCTGTCCTACACTGTGTTTAGAAATCAGGTCTGGCAAATTTAAAGCTTCAGTGAGCAGAAAACTTGCATCAAGCCTGACACCTTGTAAGCTTGGTTTCAGCTCAGGGTCACTTAAAACAACCTATTTATAAACCCATGGGGGAAAAAAAAAAGCTGGGTTTTCAATAGCGGAAACTGCTGACCCTTAAACTGCAGGGAGATGAGTTGGGTGCCTTGATGCTCCCGACGGTCGGCCATGACAGTGTGACAGATGAGAGTCGAGGGCCCCGCGGGTCGCGGGGTCTTACAATGCTTTCAGAACAAATCAATAACCAGTACAATGAAGCAGTTGTGTGAAATGACTACTTTATTCCAACTCCTAGTGTCCTAACCTGTTGAGCTGCCACGGGAGCTCTTGCAAGGGCAGACTGAGGAGGTGCCTGCAAGTTTAATGTTACGAGGTGCTGTTCTCTTTTGCCTCCACTCACTTAGGGGCCCCTTCCCCCTCTTTTTTTTGGGAAGGATTCATGATTTTATTTTGATTAGACATCCTTTAATTTTTCTAAATTTTGCAGATAGAGTCTACGTAGAAATTCAGGGACCTTGTGTGGTGACTAGGGAGTTATCTTCTGTTGCTGTCACCAAAGACTACAACTATGCATAGATTTTCTGCAGCAAATTCGTCCTATACAGTGGGGACCGTTGAGCCTCCAGATGACGATCGCCCACTGTGTGGTCAGGAAGACCTTAGCTGCAGTCTCAGTCCCGAGACTTTTAGGAGCTGTGAGGCTTGGGCAAATCATTTCTGTTCCCCAAGCCTCTGCGCTCATGGAGATCATATTCCTACGATCTGCCCCCCCGGAGTTGTTCGGTGAGACGATGGACATAAGCACTTAACAGGGTGCCCATGTGGAGAAGCACTTGGAAACGTTGCAATTATTATTCAGAAGCCATCTGCCCATATATTAACGTTTACATTTTGAGAGATTGTTATGGTCTAAAAAAAATTAGCCTGAATTTATTGCTTCTTTTTGTGATACCTCTTTAGTGTTGACAGGTTAGACTAGCACAAAAATATATAAGATTGGCCCTTCATCCCTTCCCATTGATATAACTCTTACCATTCTAATCAAGACCCTTCTAGATTGATTGTATAGATTTTTAAAAAACGGGGTTCCCCTTTCTTTGTTGGACAAACATGCACTTAAGGTGGCCCACCTTTACGTGGCATCTTATCATGCAAGTGTCTTTATGGCCAGTTGTGGAAGGAGCTTGTTAATGTCTGCAACGTCCTGAGGGTTATCTTAGATTTCCATTCAGAATTTTACAACTTTGCTGGGTGAGAAGCATATGGGAATTAAATGTGAAATTCATAAGCTAAAGTGGAACAGAGGCGGCGAGGACTACTGAGATGAAGGACATCGTGATGGAAGGTAAGATGCAGGGCAGGAGACAGGGGATCCCCAAGTTTCCTCAGGTGCGTGGGCTCCTCCAGGAGAGGGACCCACAGATGAAACATGCTTCCGTGCCCCAAGGTTTAAGGTGGGTAACACGTAGCCTTGGTTCCAAAGGACCACAGTCAGTACGCCGCCCCATGGCCTGTGAAGAGTGACCTGGTAGGCTCCAGAGTAAAAATTGTAACAGAAAGTGCTTTGCAGTCAGGAGAGACTGAAGGCCTCATGTGACCTGAGTCCCATAGTGAGGCCATCCATTGTTTTTCCTTTAAACGGTCATAAATTTTTCCACCACCGAATACACCAAGGGCAGGATCCCGGGAAGAGAAGCCACGGAAAATACACTCTTTAATCTGGGGCTCCCTTTCAGTTTTAGAACTTGGGCTCGATCTCTGTCCTTTTCCTTCTTCCAGAAGCTGCTTCCGGGGCTTCTGTGCTGGGATTAGCCTGCTCCTCTCCCGGGCCCGTAGATGTCAGGACGTTTCTGAAATGGAATCTGCCCACTGCGCCACTCCCAGGGACGCCACAGCCTTCCGCCCGTGACCTTTACCGCCTGGCTCCGGGCATGCTTGTGGTGGCACCTGGCAGGGTCCCACAGGACTGTGACCTTAGGCCTCCAAGGTGGCGCCTCTGCTGAATTGGGTGGAGGAAAAGGTGGGAATCCTGAGAATTCTGGGAGAAAACAAATGAAAGGATCAGCTGCAGAGTGAAGTCCCTTTGTTGTGTAAGAACAGGGAGGGGTGAGAAGCACAGTCAGGGACAAGCCTAGTGTCCTGCCCCCTCAGCCCCTCCCGACCTGCCAGAAGGGAGGCCTTTTTTTTTTTTTTTTTTTTTTTTTTTTTTTTCAGAAGGGAGGCCTTTAATGAGCGAGCCTTGGCTGCCCCGGAATTAAAATTTATATGGTTATTTCAACTGACAAACTCAGGCTTTGGGGGACCCAGCATCTCTCCTGTTGTTTTTTTCAAAAAGCCACAGTGGGGTGCTGTAGGGACAAGATCTCACCATTAACTTTTAATTTCTTTGCTTTTGTTGGTTACTTAACATTATTTAAAAGTATGTTTTGGCTGGTGAATAATGCTTTTGGATTGCATTCAGAAGGCATAAACAGCTGTAGTAAAACTTGCTCTCTTGGAAAGGAAGCCAACAACGCAGAGGGCCCAGGTGGTGCAGTGGATTAACCAACTAACCTTTAACCTTCCCGAGCCCGGGGTTCAGGTTCTGCTCAGGTCACCTCTGAAAAAGGAAGTGTCCCTTTGGTTTTGAGTTCCGATCACTTGTGTGTCCAAGATCACAGCTCCCCCAAATCATTTGGCCCAAATCTACACAATTGGCAGTTTCTAGGCAAGGGAGGGCCAGGCCTGAAATAGCAGGGTGGAGGCTCGGCGCGGCGGCGAGGTCCACTGGCAGAGATGAATTGGGAAGTTACAAACGTACAAGCACCTGCCAGCTCCAGGCCCGGCTGGGGCCAATGCAGTGATGTCCTCACTTTTTCAAGCACTAAATTTGGTAGTGACAGAAAGAAAAAAGTTTCTCACAATTTTTATAGGTATTGTGCGTGCGAGATTGGAACTGGCATAAAAGGCTGCATTCTTTCATTGCGACCATCAGAGCTGAGAGCGTGATGTAACCGTGCTTGGAAAACAGCGGTTTCATTTTCCTGAGAGCCCTTGGTGGCCACCAGACCTTGGTTTTTCTCCCACTGTGCTCTCTTTCTATGTCGTTTGCTCACACCACTTCCTCTGGGGTCTCAATTTCCCCCTCTGTGAAACGGGAGAACCTTAGAGAAGTGCTTTTCCACACTCTTCACTACCCAGAGAAGCATCCTGAAAATTGAAATAATGTTTGCAAAACATAGCTAATTCTCTAGGTGACAATAATTGGGAACATGCAAAGTATTATGAGTGTGAGAGGAATTACTTGACAGATTACCTCTTTTGACCCCCAATTAGTAATTATGTAAGTCGTCATTGTGCTGGGTTTTTAATGTTTTCTCTGAAGACACCAGCCGAGGCTGGATGACTAGAATAATAGGAGAATTCCACCCAAAACCGCCTCCACTGGCGGCCAGCATCCTCCGTTGTGAGCGTGGCTGTAATCACAGACTCTTAACCTGCGTGGACCGGCTTTCCCTTTAGGGATTGACCTCATTACCTGGGGCACAGTAATGAAATGCTCCTCTGGTTATTTTATTTCCGGGGCCAACCCTGTGTACTGTGAGGAACTGGTAGATGAATCTTCGGGAGGGACAACAAGGCGTTTTCCGTAAGCGCACGGTGGACAGCTCATTCTTGTGCTTCTTCATCAGGTTCATCAGCACCAGGACCGGGGAGAGACCTTTCAGTGCCAGCTATGCCCTTTCACTTCCTCACGCCACTTCAGCCTGAAACTCCACATGCGTTGCCATCAGCACTTCCTGAGGACAGAAGCCAAGGTGAAGGAGGAGGTCCCAGACCCAGATGTCAAGGGATCTCCCCACCTCAGTGACAGTGCCTGCCTGGGGCAGCAAAGGGAAGGAGGAGGGACAGAGCTAGTGGGGACCATGATGACATCCAGCACTCCAGAGAGGACTAGCCAGGGTGGGGCTGGCGTCTCGCCTTTGCTGTTGAAGGAGGAACCCAAGGAAGAGAACGGCCTGGCCACCTCCTTTCCTCTGGATGCTGCTGACAGGCCGGCCAACCACACAAAGCTGAAAGACCCTTCCGAGTATGTGGCCAACAGTGCGTCAGCATTGTTCAGCCAGGACATCTCTGTTAAGATGGCGTCTGATTTTCTCATGAAGCTGTCAGGTACTTGAATAGGGGTTGTCTTCTCCCTCCCCCACCCCCGCCCCCTCCAGTGTCCTCACCTGTAAAATGAACCAGTCGGCCTAGATGACTTCCAGGTCCTGGGAAAGTCTAGCAGTCTGCTCTGTCAGACGTTTTCTCCAGGACTTTTTATTCTTTAGTGGCCCTTTGGAAGTAGATCTCGCTGTGGTTTGGGCCTGAAAACAACAGAGACGGTGCATTTCCTTCTGGTTTTCCCCATCATGGGCTCCTGCGTGGGGGCAGGTCACATGCTGAGCCAGGCTGGTGGCAGTTCTTTGTGGGACGCGGGGTTCTGTTGAACTTGTCTCTGCGACGGGGCTTTTCAAGGGCTGTAAGGAAACTTCTGAGTTGGTTGACAGTATTCAAGTTCTTCACTGTCTTGATTTGAAAGATGTTTAAAGAACAGCGAGACTGCTATCAGGAATTACAGACTTGGCACATTGGAGCAAGTGCTGTAGATTATCTTTTATTCTCAGTGGGAAGTATTTTATTGTGGTCAAGTGTAGCCAACATGATATTTCCCGGTTCAGCCATTTTGAAGCATGTGTCTTTGGCGTGGCTTGCGTTCACACTGGGCTGTCACCATCGCCACCGTCCAAGCCCAGAGCTTTTTCATCCCAGCCCCAACCCTTCCACCCACGAAGCAGTAGCCCCACGTCGCTCCCCCCAGCCCAGCCACACCCCATTCCCATCTGTGCCAGTTTGACCAAAGCGGGCGCCTCATGGAAAGTGGAGTGGGATTTTTTTAAAATTCTTCCCCAACAGTCTCAAGGCCATTTTGAAAGAAATGGAGCCAGAAGTTGTCAAGGCTCATCCTTTGTGGCTGACGTCACTCTCACCCTCCAGTGATAGGTGACGTTTCCTTTAGTTTCTGTTGCTTTTAAAGGATTTCTTTGGTGAAGTTGTGGTGTTAAGCAGGGGCCATGCGATGCTGGGCGCGTGTGGATTCTCCTGACCCTTTAGGGTTGGAGTGGAGGGTGGTGGGGCTGTGCTGTTGCCGCTGCTCATGACGTTTTCAAAAGTGTGATTTTAAATTTTAAAGGAGATGTGACGGGGCCTCCCCCATGGCGCGGCGGTCGAGCGCTGGGCGGTTGAGCCTCTGCGGCGCTGGTTCGATCCCCGGCTGCTCCCCGGCCACCGGAGGAGGGTCCCACATGGCGCGCAGACCTCTCCTGCGGCCCGCTGCTCCCCTCAGCAGTGTACTTCGGTCCTTCTGCCTGCTCTGCTCCCCGCTCTGGCTCTGGTGAATTCTCTCACCCTCCCGCGCTTCTGACTGTGCCCAGTGCTTGTATAAATAAATAAAAATAAATCTTAAAAAATAAAAATAAAGGCGATGTGGCGGGTGGGGAAAGGTCGGTGGAGAATGGGCTCTGCCTCTCTGCGAGCTTGGCCGGCCCCAAGATGATTTCCAAATGCCACTTCAGCGCTTTGAGATTGACAATACCCTTTTAAATGGAGAATAATTGGTCACCGCCTTCTTTTAAATGGACTCTGAGTCGCATTTCACTAAATGTCATTGCCAGGTGGATTAGAGGAGCAGCTTCACTCTGAAGTCCCCGGCTCGGTGACACTTCCCTCGGGTCTCCTGGACTGTCCCCAGACCCCGGGGCTTGACCCCTGACTCTCGTTGGAAACGGGGACGAAAGGCATGGAAACGAGGCATCCCAAAATGAGTTGAGGGGGGAAGGAGGGCAGGAAGGCCCCCGGGAGGGACCCCAACCTGGACCCCAGTGAGTTACGAAGCACGAGCCCATGACCTTGGCGTTTGGAAATGGGGGGCTCAGCTCCCCTCCCCACTGCCTTCTCCCTCTTCCATTCCAATGTAGTGGAGGCTTGGATTTTTATATTGAAATATTTTTAATCATGTGGGAGAAATGTATGTTTTCAGTTTTCCTTTTGCTGCTGATCCTTTCACAATTCCCCTCCCGGAATCCTGCTTCTTCCTCTATGATCTCTCCTAATGTGATCACAAAAAGGACCCCTCTCCTGGGCTCCTGTGGCACGCTCCCGAGGGGAGAGATGCAGATGACGTGTTCACTTAGTATAGCTTAGAGGGGGGGGCCCTTTCCTAACTTCACAGACTGGGGGATGCTCAGTTGGGGGGAGTAGCTCTTAGGAGGAGCAGCCTTGCTTTCCTCTGAGATCCAGGAAGTTATTAAAATGTGGAGGTGGGTGGGAGGGGAGGCAGGAGCGATTGGGCTTTGGATAAAACACCGGTGCATGATACACGAGTCCTCCTGGGCTCAGCTCTGGGTGCCCCGTGTCAGGCTGGCATTAGCTCCAGACCCCGTCTCAGAGAGCACGAGATAAGACCTGCGGCCCGCGGAGAGCCAGGCTTGCAAACAGAGATGCAGAGGAGAAGCCAGTTGGTGGGGGTGGGGGCGGGGGTGAAATTCTGCACCAGAGCTTTATAGTGTGATCTGTTTTCTCAGGAAGCTATTGACGCGGGCTTGTTTACGGTTTGGCAGTCTGAGTGTTTACTGACTGATCAATGGGCATAAGAAAACAGATAACAAATGCACACTATTTATGCAAAAGGCCCATGCAGCTATTTTATGGTGGCTTACTAGAGGTCCTGAAACCTGACTTGTATGCACTGTTACCTAGCAACCTGTTATAAAGTCACCGGGGAGTGAGATGCATCGGTAATTTTTTTTGTGTGAGCATATTTGGATGTAAATGTAAACTTGGTGACTGTGGCAATGCAGCCCACGGGAAGAGAAGATATGTCAAAAGGAAAGGAATACATTTTCTGGAGGGCTTTTTTTTTTTTTTTTTCATTCCACTAACTCTGGTTGGTCGGGCCCTGTAATTGATGGCTGCTGTCACTGGGGTGCTGTACCTGGCTGTGTCTGTGGCTGTGATTCCAGGACCCAAAGGCCAAATCCCGGGGAGCTGCAGCTGAGCTGCTGGCCCTTCCCATTGTCAAATACAGTGAAGCCTCGGTTAGCCTGGGGTCTGGTCCCTTGGTGTCATAACGGCGCCATTGTTCTCGAGACAAATTTTTGAGCTGGACTCTGTGCGTGCACCTGCTGGGGCGGGAGGGTGCAGCTGTTGGTGGCACCGAGTCTGTGGGTCTCCGTGCCAGCCACATCGCTGTCTGCAAAGCTGGAGCACAGTGACAAATTCAAGCGTGTCCGTACCTACTTGTTTCCAAAAGAGAGACGGCAAACACTTGCTTCTTTCTTGCTTGCTTATTAAGGGGAGGCTTTTTTGCTTCTTCAACTAAAACTAAGCATAAAGATGACTTAGTGGAACCCAGTGGAATTAAAATCGCTGGCAGAATGCGGTTTTGAAAGGACTCGAAATCTATACCCACCCACAGCCACCGTGAGGTTCCCTGGTGTAAGTGAGGGTAAAAGCAAACCCCTTCTCTGAACCAGCAAGTCTTCCTCTGCCTGAACCCACACTTGACATTCCTCAGTCCTTCAGAGTTAATACAGAACCGATGCTCCATTCGGGGAAGGTTGGGGCAGTCTTGCTGCTGGCTTTCTGGGTGATGGAATAACAATCCTGTAAACTTTGCTCAAGGTGTTGGCCTGGGGGTGGGCCTCAAAAGCCTAAGGCTGCATGAATTTGCTACACCCGGTCGTTCAGGGCTCAGATACTGGAGGTGGTCTTTTGGGAGCTGCGTTGGTCCCCCAGAACCCCTAAGTGTCTGCTCTTCTGTGCTGTGTTCCCCTTTTCCAGCGGGACTTCTAACTTTGGCTGTACATTAGTTTCTTCAAAAGCCTGGGTCCGACCCGTGCCCAGAAGCCATGGCTTCGTTTGTCCAGAGCCTAGATACGGGCATTTTTTGGGAAATCCTTGAATAATTAAGGGCGCAGCCAAGTCATATTCCACTGACTTGGAATATGAACTTGGTACCTGCTACAGCTTTTTCCCCATTACAGATCTCTTTCCTTGTTTTCTATCCCTGAGGAGGGGCCTGGTGTGAGAGACGGCCTTAGACATTCAGCGCAGGTTGAGGTTGGCGTGAACAGAAGCCTGAGTGAGTCATGGCTACTGAGCCCCCCTTTTTTCTTGTCGGGCCGTGAGACAAGAGATTAAAGAAAATGCACCTCAATGTTCTCCAGTTAGAACAAGAAATTTCTAGGACTCCTCCAGAGCATCAAGGGTCTGGGAGTGTTACCATTAGAAACTCAATTAAAAGTTGCCTCGCATGGCCTTTCATTTTTCTCTCTTTCTGAAAGCAGCACTTTTTAAGATAGAAAATTTAATTCTAACTCTCCACATTATAACCAAGCAGTTGACAGAAACTTGGCTCCTCAGCTGTTGGCTGAGAATAGCTTTATGTCCCTGTTTTGCGAAAATAAAAGATATAAGTCATTGCAACTATTTTTAATTTGAAAACTGGCAAAAAAAAAAAAAAACCCTTTTATACCGTCTCCCACATTATATTAATTTCATAAGATGGAGGCCAACATTTTAACCAGGAGAGATGGACTTTTTAAAGCAGCGGCTCCCAAGCCTGATGTGCTAGGAACTCAGCCATAAAACAGCAAAGGTTTTCTTGGTTCTGGCGGATGAATAAAGAGGAGCCGGTCAGTGTGCTTGTGCCTTCTTATCTTGCAGTTTCCCATCGGCCTTTGTTCCATGTCTTTCACCAACTTGATGTATCTGTCGGTACAGTGCCGTTGGTTTCTGAAAGGCATCTGTTCTGTCTGCTGCTACAGGGGGCGGATCGGAGAGGCCCAGCTAACCAGGGGGTCCCTCCCGCACGGTGATTTTTTATAAAATCTCTTAACCCACAAGCCTTTCTGTGATCCCGTGCCTTCCCAGTGCCTCGCCAGGCCTTACGTAACCCGGGGCTCACCCACGCTCCTTGCCTCTGTGCACATCCCTGGAAGGCTTATCTGCAACAGCCTGCCTTTGCAGCTTCAACTGACCCCTTCTTTTTAACCCTGTCCTGCTTTTCTTGTGGCAGGAGCACACTGGTCATGTGACTAGAACCCCTGCAGTGAGCCGCTGCCCTGAGGAGC